TCATCATGAGAATAACTTATGACACTTTGCATAATATTCTATGTAGTATTCTCATAGCGGGTCAATCCAGTATAAATATTACTCCTAATATTCATACCTATGTCAAGACTTGATAACTCCTTATCTATGATCCATGAGATGTGATCATCAATATATCTTCATAATAATCTTAATGCTTTAATGTTATCCCACTTTACATTAAAGCTTGATTACGGATACTTTAAGAATAGTGTCTTATGTTTAATGGGATCTCATGATTAAGTCACACTTAACATTTCATTAAACAAATAAACCATTCTAGGGACTTTATTATTTTGGAAAGCAAACATAATAAAGAAAATGCCTTTTATTATTAATAAATAATTCGATACAAGTACCAAAAGTATTGGCCTCTAGGGCTTACACCAACAAAGGCAACTTGGCAAGAAATTTTAGTAACTGTCCTAAAGTTCTATGATCACTTTTAACCGAGGCAACATCGAGAGGACCATCGAGGGACTTGTGATCTTTCAAACTAGAGGACAACCACTAAAACTTCTCATGTTTCGAGAATTGTGACCGTTTTCCGAAGGCAACCGAAGTGGGGTACCCTAGAGGTGCGCATGTGCAATTGTCTTCAATTTAATTATTTATCTTGTGTATTTAGGTTTGCTAACGTTTTTGTTTTTCAATCTTGTCATACAATCCTAGTTACTAGCAGTAAATATGTACATAATATAAAGTGCGGAAGTATAAACCTACACTATTACATGGATTCGGGGAGGGGATTTACAATGTACAAAAATTTGGGGGAAGAAAAATAAAGAGAGCAGATAAAATCCTATTAACTATTATATCCAGTGTACAAGTACAATAATGTAAAAATACGAAAGAAAAATAAATAACGCGCGAAAGTTAAAAGTACGTCTAAAAACCTAGTAAGTAAAAATGAAATAAGAGAATCTTTTTATTGTTTTTTTTTTATTTAAGAAAATGATTAATTAATCCTAAAATCTATTTAGAAAATTAAATTAAATTAAGAAAAATGGTCTAAGTTCTTTTTGGTTTTTGTTATGAAAAGAAAATGATTAAAACATAAATTAAATCCTAAATTCTAACTCATTTTAAATTAAAGAAAATAGTTAAAATATTTATTTAATTTATTTACATAATTAGTTTAATTAAAATAAGTACTATTTTTTGTGATTTTTTTGACTATTTAGTTAATTAAATAATTAATAGAGAAAACTAAAAGGAAAACAAAAATGGGCCAGATAACAAAAGGAAATAGGGGGGTGCGAGATTGAATTTTCGCTAGGCCAAATGTTGAAGAGAGCCCAGGTCTGTCCTTGGATCCAGTGAGGACTGGCTTTGATGACCTATGCTGGATATACAAGCTCAAACCCTTGGATCTAGATCACTCATGATCTAGCAGTTGCAAATTGAAGGCGTATAGTATGCTCCTAGCCATTGAAGCATGGGATCTGCATGAGTATATTAGGAAAAATACAAAACTCTGGACCTGGGACTTGAACCCAGGTCCTCTCTCTCACATACGCATTGCCTTGCCAATTGAGCTTCCATTTCATTCGTTTATATATATGAAACAATAATAATATATTAGCAAAACAACGCAAATATTTGAAATTAAAAAAAAAGGTGTGCGCTGACTTGTACTGGCAAATAAGAGTGAGACAAGTTTGCGCCGGGGTCAGCCCACCGGAGTCAACTCTTTAGTCATCTTCTCTGGTGGGATGGAAAATCAACCTGCCAAAATAATGAGATTCAAAGATCCAAATTGGTCCTACTCCCCTTAATTTTTGCTCCATATTTAAAAAATGAGGTCCTTTTGACCTGAAAACCCCTGGTTATTGAGATACGATGAAGAAACTCAGATCGTGCTCTAAAATGGCACGATCCTATTCTTCCCCTTATTCTTGCATGTTCTACGTTAGATCTGTCCTTTAGATTAACCTGATCATGAAGCAAGCATGGAAAAGTATTAATACATCATGAAATTACAAATATAAATTCCAAAAAATTACCAACAATAAGGGTTTTGTTTCGTGGATTCTGGGCGTGAAATTGCTTGAATAATTGTTGGGTTGAGTTCCTGGAAGTCTCAGGAAGGTGTTTGAACCCTTGGTTTGGACAATTGATAGCTGGAATTGGAGATGCGAATTTTGCAACTTTGACAATTTTTTGCAAATTTTGTAGAACTCTCTCTAGGTGGTGCTGGCGTATGTTACGCTTGCAAGATGCTTGGTATTTATAGAGTAGAAAGAATGGACAAGGTAGGAGGGAAAGAAGCATGCTCCATTATGTTCTTTAAGATCCATGAATGAAAATTTGAAACTTTGCCAAAAGCATGCAAACTTGTATTTTTTTTTTAATTTCAATGAATTTGGACATGATGGCCTTGTTGTACACGAAATGTAGGGCCCCTCCATGCATCAAACCAAGCCTAATCAATAATGGCCCATATAATTTTCATTAATTTAGATTTATTTAATTTTTAATTAAATAAAATTAATATAAAATGCAAATAAGATCAAGACTATGCAAAAATGGTTTTAGGGGTCCTTATACATGTCATGAACATGTTTAGGCCCTAAAAATTAGGCTCATTAGCTTGAAAAATGATTTTGCCCAAGTTGACTCCATGCATTTTCTTGAAAATTACCCAACTTGTGCAAGCCATAACTTGCTCAATTTTCAACTCATGATGACGATCTTGGACTTTTTGGAAATCCCAAGATGTCTAATTCAACCTCTATTTTGATCAATTTTGAATTTGAAGATTTTATCTTGATGTAAAAGGTGTTGGCAAAAAGTGGCTTTTGTTGACTTTCTGAAAATGACATGTAATGTCTGAGCTTGTATCTTTCAAATGGTGCATTTATTGGACTTGAGGGATGAAGAGAAGTTTTATGGAATGAGATTCTATTAAAATATGAGCTTTGTTTGGGAAAAAATGGATAAAGTATGTGAAAGTTATGCCTGGTCAAAGTTCAGTTGACTTTTCCTATAGAAACCCTAATTTAGCAATTTTTGACTTTTGATGAATTATGGACATTTCTCGAGGAATCATGATCAACCCTTGATCAAATAATGGATATCACTTCAAATTATTGATGTTGACCAAAAATCTTGAAGTTTGACTGTACACGGGCCACATTTGACTTTTGACCTAGCATAGTTGACTTTCAAGCATTTGAGCAATTGAATGAGCAAATTTGTAGTGCAAGGCATGAAACTTATCATATAAAATCTTGAAGGCATATTAGGACAATGGAAAACATTTGAGACCTTTGGAGCTCACACATCTTGATGAGAAGTGAAACCCTAGTTAGAGGTTCATTGCTTAGGAGGAGAATTTGTCTGGTCAATTCTTGGTCAAACTTGAGCAATTGAGGATCCCTAGGAGCATGCTTTGAGTAAAAATGGGAGGGAAAATTTTGAGATACAACAGGTTCAAATATGTATAAGTTCTCTTGTAAGCATTGTACATTTGGTTTAGTAAACAATGTAAATTTAATATCTGTGTTATATTCTGTATAAAATACAAATGATATGATTTTGTCACATAAATTGTAGGTTTTGTGTAAAAGATTATACAAGTCAGTCAAAATGAAATTTAAAATAATAAATGAGAAAAATAGGTTATACCCTTCGGTTATAAACAAAAACCGCCACAAATAATGACCCTTTCCCTTGATTATTAACAAAAACCGAAGTATATGGCGCGTACTACATAGTTTTGAATATAAAAAAATGTTGTTTTTGGAAATCGATCCAATAAAGTTTTCAATTATTCTCTGGGTTTTTTAAAAACCTCGGGGTAAGATGGTAGGTTTTCATGTCTTCCTTCATTATCTCACTTTTTAACTGTGGTAAAATTTCCTTCGCATCCAAGGTAAAAGTGATATATTTGTAGTAGTAGACTTGCCACCGATTATTCTGGAGTGGTTCATCCAAATGTGAAAAAGTGATCCAACTGAATTATTTTGTCCATTATAAGTCTTCGTGCTTGAGAATATATGTACTTCGTGTGACCATTATCTATAGCATTCGTTTTTTGATCAAATCACTCATCTTATTGACCTGGATAAAACTACTTGTTGTCCACTCACAAAACATAGAGATTGACGTGTCCCCTAAATACTAATGGTATACTTAGTCAAATAGGAAAAGTCAAGTTCTTTTTCAAAATAGAAAAAATAATAGATCCACACTCCTATAAGGTGCAAAATAAGCATCTCATAGATATTAAGATCTAGACTCAATTAATCTCTATAAATATATTAAATACTGGGTTGAGAAGAGACGTTCGACTCACTCAAAAATCATCTAAATCCAGAGCTTTTCACTATTTATGTGTGAACTTACTCTAAACAGTGCAACAATTCTAAAACCCTTAGAAAATCCTATACAATTAAAAATATCACTTACCATCCAATGTACCTTAACAAATATAAGATCAATAATGACTTTGTAAGTAAAAAAGATACTCGTGACCAAGTCAATGTGTTACTCGTGGCCAAGTCAATAGATTAGATATCCATTCATAATATCAAATAATTGACATTTTCAATATTGTGTATAATTTAACGTATATAAGAAGAAAAAAAATATAAATCTTTTATATTTAGATAATGTTATATGTAAATGATTATGCAATGAAACATGTTCTCTTAGAAAAATATAGTTGGGGTTTTGAAAAAATAGTGTCACGTATTTATCTTCATTGTTATACAAAATTATTATCAATATACACGGTGAGTGGTCCTAAATAAAGCAAAAGTAATAATAGTATATCTCGTGTAGAGGAAACCATAACGGCTTATTGCAACAACTATTTTTATTTTCTAAATAAATGATTACACGTACACACAAAAGATCATGGTCATCTTCATCTATATACACGAGTGATCAATTACAGAAACAGATAATGAATGAAAAACAATTCGAATACCCTACCGACTAAGGCAAGAATTCAATAAAATAAAATACAAAGACATCTAAGCTAAAACCACGGAGACAAAGATTCCAGCAAGAGAAGTAAAGGCAACGAAGGTTTTGGTGATAGAGAATGCAGCAGAGGGTGCATCAGCTTCCCCTGGATTTGACGCTGGACCATTTGTTCCTGGTGCTGGTGGAGAAGAAGTGTTCGGGATTGGTGATGAAGGTGATTGTGCTGGAGAAGGAGTTGTTGCAGGAGAGACAGGAGAGGGTGTTGGTGATGAAGGAGAGGGTGAAGGAGAAGAAGTTGTCGCGGGAGAGGGTGTTGGTGATGTGTTTGTGGAGGAGGGTGATGGAGCAGGTGCTGAATTGGGTGATAATGATCGGGTAGGTGCGGGTGCAGGAGCTTGTTGTGCTATGCACAAGGTAACCAACAACCCCAATATCAAAAACACTTTGATTGCAACAGAACCCATGTTTTTTTTATAGAGAAGAATGTTGAGTGAAAATATTGAAAATATATGTGTTTTTGATAGAAAGAGAAGAAGGAATTAAGTAAGGTTATTGAGATTTGAGATTCGTACAAATTGATTTGTGTATTGTCCAACTGCATAACTTGTGTATATATAGTGGAAAATTATTATGATATTGCGAACGCGTAAAAGATATTTTTTTAATGCAATTTTATCTTAAATAAATTAATATTTTCTTTATGTGTTGCAAGTTAAGTAATACAACAGGATGTTGCAAGTTAATCATTCTCGCTTTGATTTTTCCACCGTTGTTTCTAGATTACTGGACATTCAAAGATTTGATTTGTTCACGTAATGGATATGTAAGCTGATACGTTGATAAGGTGTTCAAACGCGGTTCCTCTTTATCACAAAAATTCACCTTTTCAAAAAGCTGACTATTAGATAAGGTCCATTTAGAGATAAGTCAATCATTTATTGATGTTGAAGATGTTTTTTTAACTAACTTTCTTTAATTTCTCTGCAATTTACATTTCGATATCAATTTCTTTTTAATGTTTTCTCTTAGTTTAATTCTAATCTAATTATATACTCCTTCCGTTTTTTTTTTAAATATCACTTTTGTAAAAAGTTTATATTTTTTTTAATTGTCATTTGCAAAATTTAATGTAATAATAATTATAATTTTTTCAAAATTATCTTTAATTATTTATTATAGAAAAAGAAAAAAATATATTAAAATAATTAAAAATTAAAGGTATTATAGACAAAAAAAAAATCATAGTATACAAAATCATAATAGTTACAATTTTTTTTAGTATATATGAAAAGTAAAAAAAAAAAAGACAATTAAAAAGAATAGAGAAAATATAATTAATATTTTAAAAATTGGATCAAAATGTTAAATGGGAGAGATTTTTAATTTAAGGTTTAAATTTTCATTAAAATAAATAAATATTAATTGTTAGTTAATTTAACGATGATTGATTAAAATTGGTAAAAATAATTTTGATTTAATTTCTATAATTATAATTGAAAAAAGAGTTAATATCAGAATTAATCTTTAAATTAAACCATAACATTGATAAAAAAATAATAAATTAACTAAATAAGAAACTAAACTTTATTGATAAGTTAAATACAATAGTAAGTTTACAACTTAATAAATAAATATTTTTAAAGTTTATTCAAAGAGAAAACAAATTATATATTAATGATGTAAAATAATTTTACATGGTCAATTAATCATAATTATATATTTAATTATACCTCAATTTTTTTAATTTTTTTTAATAATATGATATATTATTAATTTTCTATTAATTAATTGTATACAAAATTTTTACATATCAAAACATTTTATAAATGAAATAGGATCGAATAAAAAAGGAAATAGAATAATATATTATATTTAAGTTCAAATTTAATCAAAACTAAATATAAAAGAGTTATATTAATATTTATAAATCAATAATTTTTTTTTTTAAAATAATAAAAAATATTTAAAGAAACTTAGGATTTTATTTTTACACACGTTTATCTCAATAACCTACATTCAAGTTTTAATAAATTTATCACACAACTATCAAAATTATTACAAAGAAATTACAAGAGAATTACGTCGGTACAAATCAATTTTCGGGTGAAAATATTAAATTTCTTGGCATTAAGGAAACTATAGTATAAAAGAATACAAAAGAGGAATGAGATAAATAATATATGATAGAAGGAAGTTTCTATTTATAAAACTCGTGTATTTTAAAATAAATAGAAACTTCTTTTATATATATAAGAAAATCAGATATAAAAAGAAAACAAATCATGTGTCTTTTTAATGAGTTAATCAATTCAAAGCTGTGTTAATTGATTAACTAATAAAATATAAAATATGAATTTTTTATGTTATTTATTTAATTAACAACTCTCTTAATTTATTAGGAAGAGTTACACTTTGATTTAATCGATTAAAATGTTATATTGATTGATAAGCCATAATATTTTTGTTTTTCTAATTGATTAAAGCTTCTAACAAGTTAAATACTTGTTTGGATTGGTTTAAAAAGTTTTATTTAAAGAGAAGATGTTTAAAAAGACTTTTGTGTGTGCCCATTACCTTAATACCTCGAGATTTACACTTGTTCCTTTTACTATAAATTGATAAAAACTATCTAAATAGCTTAAACATAAGATCAAGCGAATTTTCGCACATTCACATCTTTGAAATGTCAAATTCAAAATCACAACTTCAATACATGAAGGTTTCACATATTTACCTTCAAGGTTACAACTTCAAAATCCTTTACTTAATTTAAAGTTGTCTATCACTTTCAAATGGAACTTGACAAATTTTATTGAAGAGGCTTGAGATATCTTTTTTTCTTCTGTTTAGAGGTGTCATACTTTAAATTTGTCCGCCCAATTTTTAACATTAAAATAATTTTCAAACTTGGTGGTTATAAGTTTCTTTGATTTATTTACACTAATATTTTAAGATTTTCTAGTTATTTAACTTTAAAAATATATAATAATTTATTTTAAATTATTTATATTTTTAAATAGTAAATATTTTTCTACTTTTATATACTTTCAATTAGCTTTTTGTTTTAAATAAATTAGATATCATAATTGGTAAAAAGGTGAGGCTTGCAAGTAAAATGTCACATGTTAAAATCTTGCCCCTAACTTTTTGCGTTATATTTTATTTTTAACCTTCTTTGTATTTTTTGCATTATTCCAAAAATATCATAAAAAGGTGTTTTTTATTTATTTAAATATAATTTTCGTTTTCTTTTATTTTTCAATTTTAAAAATTATTTTTTTTCATCAAAATCATGATTTTGTGCATTAAATAGTCAAATATTCTAACAAAAAATTAAAAAAAGAAAGTTTTGATCAAATTGATTTATTTTTAGCAATTTTCAAATCTTGGGGAACAAGTGTCGTACCCCAAATTTTCCCCACCCCTTTTATTTTTGTCTGACTTTGAACTTTGCATCCCATTTGCATCATTTTCACTAAGTCATTTGCATATCCCGCATCTCATGGAATCAGGCGCCTTGGTTTGAGGTATTAGAGTTGTGCCCTCTTTATGTCTAATTATGTTTTGAAGTTCTCTTATCAGGTAAAAGGAAAATTCATCTGGTTCTCGATTAGTGGATCGTGGGATGGATTTTTGAGGTATCATGGATTTCTTTCTCACCAAGAGATCCTTGCAGACAGGGGCATTCCTCCTCCACTCTTATGAATTTGCCCAAGAAAATTCTTGTCAACCGTACAAATGCAATCAGGCTAAAAGCGCCATGATGTTCACTTTGGCTCAGTTGACGTCCTCAGAAGCATCATCATTCCCTGCAGATGTTTAAACACGCAACTCCCCAGTAATAAAGTGAACTCGGGGCATCTGAAGACACTCATGTCCATTTCCTAATCCCCGAGTGGTTTGTGGAGTAAGAAAAGTCAGGCGGAGCCATTTCCTCCCCGATAATATAGAAAAATTGGGGCATTTGATGAGATCCATGTCTCTACTCAGTCATTCACAAGGAGTCTAGCAGGTGAAGAAAGTCAGATTAAGCTACTCCTCCTCAGCAAGGTTTAATCCCCAGTGAACTCGATAAGGCTAACTCGAATCTCGATGCTTTCAAGCACAAATCTGTTTTGGGTATCTCAAGACAAAGGTCAACGGATCCCAATGAGCCTAACATTTGGCACTTTTCATACAATAATCATCACTTCATATTACATTGCATCCTCAAACACATAACATATTCGTGGATCATCGTGCCACACTTCAAATTCATATGAAGCATGAGCCAGATTTGGTACCTTACCCGAGAGCCCCAAATCAATCCCAAATCAACAAAACATCCCCACAAAGAATATCATCCTCATAATTCTCAGTTAACATCTATCATTACACTACCAACCAAAAATTCATGGTGCTAGTAAATTGTACTCCCCAAATCTTAATCCTCACGTTATCTTTTCTAGGATCGTAGATCACCCGTAGGTCTTACCCTCACATTATCTTTTCTAGGGTCGTAGGTCACCCGTAGGTCTTACCCTCACGTTATCTTTTCTAGGGTCGTAGGTCGCCCATAGGTCTTACCCTCATGTTATCTTTTCTAGGATGGTAGGTTTCCCGTAGGTCTTACCCTCACGTTATCTTTTCTAGGGTCGTAGGTCGCCCGTAGGTCTTACCCTCACGTTATCTTTTCTAGGGTCATAGGTCACCCGTAGGTCTTACCCTCACATTATCTTTTCTAGGGTCGTAGGTCGCTCGTAGGTCTTACCCTCACGTTATCTTTTCTAGGGTCGTAGGTCTCCTGTAGGTCTTACCCTCACGTTATCTTTTCTAGGATCGTAGGTCGCTCGTAGGTCTTACCCTCACGTTATCTTTTCTAGGGTCGTAGGTCTCTTGTAGGTCTTACCCTCACGTTATCTTTTCTAGGGTCGTAGGTCGCCCGTAGGTCTTACCCTCACGTTATCTTTTCTAGGGTCGTAGGTTGCTCGTAGGTCTTACCCTCACGTTATCTTTTATAGGGTCATAGGTCGCTTGTAGGTCTTACCCTCACATTATATTTTCTAGGGTTGTAGGTCGCTCGTAGGTTTTACCTCATGTTATCTTCCATAAGGTCGTAGGTCGCCCATAAGTCTTACCCTCACGTTATCTTTGCTAGGGTCGTAGGTCGCTTGCATGTCTTACCCTCACGTTATCTTTTCTTGGGTCATAGATCATACGTCATTCTTTACCCGTTGTCTTTACCTTTCTTTCTGGGTCGTGAATCCCATACGATAGATTCTCCACTGTCGTCGAGTTTTACCCTTCGCCTTTAAGATATCATGTTGTCATTAATCCTACTTTCAGTCACCACGACATCATTAACCATATCTTTTAAGTCACTTTACCGCCCACTTTCACGAGAAATTTGTATTGGCACCGTTACCCCAGTATGATCTACCATTATTCAACCATGTTTACCCATCATGACCAGTCCACCTGAGAA